TGCCTTGAAAAGGCAAATTTAAAACAGAGAATCAGAAAAGTTGATAAAAATTGAGTGACAATTGTGAACGAAAAGGAAAATGTTTTCTCCAAAAAATTCACTTTTTTCTCCATGAAAGTAATTCTCATGTCAGTTTAACAGAACATTTTTCACCATTTTCTGAAGGGAAAAAGATGGTAAAGTGTGATACAGAATCATCCTGAATGTTGATATTTTGCCTTTCCTGGGAGTGAATATTATCAAAATGAAAACAAGTTGAAAGATACTTTATCTATCATTATATCATCATCAAGAAAATGAATCTTGAGCTGAAGCAAAAAAAAAGATGAGAAGCTTTCTGTTGATTCTCATTTTTAGCTTCAATTCACTGAGTTATCATTATCATGTTCATGATGATGTTGATGATGGAAAACATGTTGTATTAGTCATTTTTTTCTCTCTCTTCATCTTCTTATTTCCTCTTTTCTCAAATGTATTCAATTGTAAAGGTAAAGTGAACAAAACCAATGACATAAACAATGATTCTGAGGTTCATGGTGAACAGAAAAGGTGGCGAAACAAAAAAAAATTGAAGAATTTTTTTCTTCTTTTCTCTTTTTTCGCTCAGAGGGATTTCAATTTCAGCAATGATAATGATCGATATAATGATGTATTCAATGAAGTTGGTGAAAATGATGATAACTTGAGAAGTGAATTTGAAATGTTTCCTCTTGTCTCAACCATTCTAAAGTGTTTTAACCAGTTTTTGGGTAAAATCAAAATTCCACTTTTTACTGTTATTAGTTTTTTCACTTAAAACTTCAATGTTCAACAATCATTTCAATTGTTCAATGTTACATTAAATATTGATGTTTGGGTCAAGTAATGGACCAAATGTTTCAACCAGTTTTACGTGATGAACCCGAAAATGTTGTTAAATCAGTGAAAGTAGAGAAAAGGCTTTTTAATTGATTAAAAAAAGGGAAACAATTTTTCAGCAAATGCTTTTATTATTCAATGATTACCATTAAATTTCACTGTTATTAGTATTATTGTTATCGCTGTAATCTTATTACAATTGTAATTTTGTATTTATCAAGATTTAATGATGTATATCACCGAGAATGATAACATCTTGGAGTGTTAAGGAATGATGAAAATGTTGAATTCGAGGCTCATTTTGGGTTGTAATGTTGTAATGGTGTTGCTTTATTAAACTGTAAACCAATGAGTTGAATTGAGATTCTCAGGCAATCTCTTGAAGGAAATATCATTTAAGGTTAGGTTTATCAGGCCATTCTTGCAATCAGATTAGCTGATCATTCAATTGATAAGATTCTATCAAGAAATGAAAATCTGTTGTTAATAAAGAGACACACAGAGAAACAATTTATTTTGTCTTCATTTTTCCTTCTCTCTCTGTCCTTCTTCCTTGTCTTACCTTTACTCATCATATTTCATCTATTCATGTTTTATATCCTGAAGTGGTTGCAAGCTTGTCTCATGTTTGTATACACTTTCATATCCCACTAAGTGTTGACGATTGGATTAAATGGATGAATGTTACTTGTCATCCTAAATGTTTTCAATCATCAAAAGGAAGACCCAACAAAATGACAGTGTTATTAAAAATAAGGGAAGGAAAAGATAATCATGGATATGGACATGACCATCAAGGAATGCTTATAATGATAATGACCATTAGAGTAAATTAATCTTCTTCTTCAACTTGAATAATTGTTTTCTCGTTTCACTTTGACAAATGGTTTGATTAATTTTTACCGTTTGCCGTTAAACATAAAAATATGAAAAACAAGAGACCAGTTTGGCCTCAACAGTTGCAGCTGTATTCAAGTCTGAAAGAGCTTGACACGGCTTCGGTTTCACCGAGTCTTAACCACTGTTATCAGTCATAAAACAATATCAAAATTTACGCTTCGGTTCCTAATCGGTTAACTAAGAATCAAATGTCGACCAAGAGAAACATTTAAAAGTAAAAAAACCCAATCTTTAAAATTGAAAGTCAACCAGTTTTGTGCTTTCACATTGACTTGGGTTGAAACTGGTTGCAATGGTTTGCTGATGAATTTGCTTTTAAAGTCTTGTAATTTGATTAATAAAGCTCAATTTGCATACAAAATTATGAAATCAATATTCTTGTTTACAATTAGATTGATCTTTGAAGTAAATTGAATTAGAAAATGAAGTTTATCTTTATTACCATGAATCCAATGGATGACAAGTGACACTTTCTGTTTACACATTTCTTGATTCAATTTGTTTTTTCTGTTGACAACAAATTTTGAATAATATTGAATCAGTTTAGTAATCAATCTTTAATAATGTGATTAAAATTTGATTTTGATTTTTTGGAAACATTTTTACATTTTGTTTCTCTACATTTGATGAAATAATTGACTTGAATAAGAAAAAGAATAACTTGAATCAATGAAATTGACTTTTCAGGTGAAATGAAGCAAAATGTAAAGAATGAGAAAAGTTGAAAAAGAAGGAAGAAAAATCTCGAAAATCAAAGTTTATTTTTGTTCACTTTTCACAATGAATTTTCTGACGTTGTTTCAATTGTTCATGATAGATTCATTGGGAATTCAAATTATCTCCATTCAACAATGGAAATGACTTTTTCTCTTCCCTTTTACTTTAACATTTATCAATCTTTACCTCTTTTCCTTGCCTTCATAATAATAGTTTCCGAGTTGAATTTGAAAGTTTCAAGTGAACCAGAAAAATAGTGAAAGCTGTTATCAATTTGGAAACGTTTCAATTGATTATTATTATTATCATTATCACCAATGTTATTGTTAAACTGAACACTTTTATTTCCTTTTTCACCAAAATCATTATCAGGTAAGAAAGAGAAGAAAAACTTTTTTCCTTTGCCCAAATTCAATTGAAGTTCAGTGAAAGGAAAGGGTTATAATGTTATCTATTGTTATCAATGCTCAATCATATTATCCAATGATTTGGATGACATTGATTAGGATGAAAATTTGTCCTTCCTTTGCATCTTCAACTTCATTATTCAACTTGGCAAAGGTGGAAGATGGTTGAAGGAGGGCAAAAAAAAGTGAACCCAGAAAAAAGAAGTCAAATGTGAACAGGAAAAAGAAGAAGAAGAAATGAAGAATCAAGAGATTCAGAGATTCGGTGGAAGGCATGAAGAAGAGGAAAGAATCAAATAAAGTAAAGACAAGAAGAAGGAGGAGAAAAGGGAAAAGAAGAAGAAGAAGAAGAAGAAGAAGAAGAAGAAGAAGAAGAATCCAAGTCACATTGTTGACTGAATAACCTGTAAAAGTCCAGTTAAATAATGTCTCTTCAGGAATGAAGAAATGGTGAGAAAGAGAAAGCTTAATTTCCTATTGAAGTGCCTCCTGAAGAGCATTCAATATTAACATTGAATTGGAAGACAAAAAATAGCGATTCTTCACTGATTAAGATACTTTTTCCTTTACTCTTCATGTTTAGACTTTGCTTTTTCACTGTTGTCCTCCTTCGTGTTTCCTCACTCCTTCATCATCATCATCATAATCATCTTAATCTTGTTCACCTTTAACACAATCTTACAATCAATAATCAACTCTCAAGTTTTCACCTTTAAACATATCACATTCACAGTCTATTGAGTGATTAACCATTTTTCATTCAATTTTCTCAAACTTGCTTTTTTTCCTTGACAAGTTCATTAGGAAATGTTTTTTTTTGTGTTCCAACTTTTCACTTTTACCATGCTAATGACAGAATCTCAACATTTTTAGATTAACTGAAAATAAAAAAGAGCAAAATGATGTAACGAGAATCTTGCAACTGGTAAACACCTTTCAATCCTTTCAGGGAGTGAAATGGAATTAACTCCCAGTAAAGGAACAAAAAAGAGTCAAAAATTAAGCTGATAGAGAAGAAGAAAAATTTCCTCACAAATTATCGTTTAATCCTTTTGTTGTCTTCATTGAACATTTTTTTCTATTCTTTTTTCGAACCTTTAAATTTTTCCTTTTTTCATCCTTTTCTTATTCAATATTCACCTTCAATCCCAACAGGATACGGCTTTATATTGTTGGATAATTACATTGCTTTGTGATTCAGTGTTAATGGTAAGATTGCAACAAATTTTGCAAATTGATTTGGTAAAGAAAAGCGCTGAAAGAAGAAACAAAAAGCTGAAAAATTCATTTTAAATGCGCATCTGATGAGCAGTTGATTTCAATAATAATTCAATCAGCAGAAGCAAACTAATGATCGCTTTTTTGCCATTTGTTTTCTGACATTGGAATCAATTTAATGGCTACAGAATCTTCATCTTTATTGATTTATATTTTTCCCTTCAGTTTGATGAATAATTAGTTGGCTAAATGTTGAAGGATTTTCAGGATTATATTGATAAAAAATTGTAAAACAAATGAATGTTTGGGTTGATCGGATTATTCAAGCAGTGATGTTGTGATAATGAAAAGAACAGGCAACTCGAGTTCATTTTTCACTCCATTTTTGCTGGTTTTACTGGTAAAAGTGATTCAAGTATCAATTGTTGATAAATTGAGATTCATTATTGAGATTAATTGTTGCAAATTTTTCATCTGTTTTATGTTATTTATAAGATGACTTACAGCTTGAATTAGTTTTGTTCAACTGGAAAATAACTGTTCATAAGATTAATTATTTTTGTGGTTCATACAATGTAATGAAAATAATATTTTTATATTTTATCAGCAAAAAAAGATGGGAAAATGAGAAAAATGAGATTTCTCATCCTTCCCTTTTCATCATCATTTTCATTCCCTGACTGATTCAAGTGTAAATGAATTGATAGTTGGCAGGTTTTTATCTCAACCTTTTTTGATAAATGCTTGAATATATTAATATTAAAAATAATTCAACAATTTTCATCTTTCGATTTGTATATTCAATGTTTCAAGCTTTTACCCTTTTCCTCTTGATTGTTAACAATTATGTTTAAAAGGTAAAAATGTTGCTTCTCAATGAATCTTGATTAAACATTGTAGTTACTCTTAAATGAGAACATGATTTAGTAATTAACATCAATCCAAGTTGCTTTACCATCTCTAATGATTCCAGTTTTATGTACACATTTTTTGTTGGTCTTTTGCTTGACTGTCACATTTTAATTGCTAATTTAGCTTCTGCTGATGATAATAATTATAATCATTGTAATAATTGTTGGTTTATTATTTACATTTGAAATCTAATTTATTTATTCCTTTTGACTGGCAAGAGTGAGGAAAACTTTGAAAAGACATTTCCATGGAAAGTGTTTCATCCATACTTTTCTTGCCATCCTTTGCTTGTTAGCCTGCAAATAATTGAACAAAATGATTTATTCAATATATTTATATTGATAACAGCTGAGTTACCATGGGAAAATGGAGGAATTTATTTACAACGAGAATGAATCCAAATTGTTTCTGTAAATCATTATTCAGATTTAGTTTCTTCCAAGTTTCCAAGTCTTATTTGTCTTCTTGTTCATCATTTTGCTTCCTTGCTTCACCATCTTCATGGATTTTTATATTAATATTAATATTTATTGATTGACAGGATGGAATGAATACTGATGCAAATTACTGAAAAAAAGGGAAAGAAGAAGAAAACATTTCAAGTTATTCAATTGAAAGTTAAATTAATAATGTGCAAAGTGTGCATTTACCTGAGAAAGTAAATCACTTTGTTTATCTTGTTAGTTGTTACTTTGCGTCCATCAACTTTATGCAGATTACTAAATAATCAAACATAATAAAACTGATTTCACTTTACCCTTTCCCAGTGTTCAGCTTTTCTGTCAGATGTTCAGTTTCAGTCTTCATCTTGATCATCTAATATCACCCACTTTTTATCCAAGTAAACAAATATAGCAGTTCCCATGAGGTAAGCACAAAGTTGAATCTGACAGGGAAAAAAGGTGGATAAAGCAAAAAGGTTTATTAAAATTTGAATAGCTCTTAACCCTTATGAAAATTTGAAAAGGACACTTTTTTTCATAACTTCAACATGGTAAGTTGAAAGTTATTTTTATTACATTATACTTACTTGTGTATTAATACGTATCACTGGCAATGAGAAAAGTTCAACAGGCAACATTCATAATGTAATATATTGATGGAAAGTTTGATGATAATGGAAGAAGATGAACATGTTGATGACCTGATTCTTTGAGTTTATTCTCCTTTTAAAGGCTATCCCTTGAATTGGCGTTCATGTTGATAATTTTCTTGATATGAGGTTGATACAAATGTAGAGAATTGAGAAACAAGGATGAAAAAGGAAAGAAGAGAAAAGAAAAACAAGATAAACTGCGATAAAATGTACACTTGATTGAGATGAATAGAAACTATTGATTCTTGTTTTAATCAATATCTTATGGAGCTGCTTTTTTCCAACTCAATGAAAGGCGAGTTTATTAAAAAATCATGATCATGATTTTGTTGATGAAAAGGAAACTTGTATTGCTTCAAATAAAGCCAAATTATTTGCTCTTCCAATGAAAGTTTATACTCTGTTTACTCCATCAAACATTCAATGTTTTCAATAATTGCTTCTTACTTCAGTCAACCAATGAACCAAACTTTCAACTCTCTTAAAGTTCCAGTTTTCTGAGTGATGAAAATTATATTAGACGATAATATTTGTTGGTGAAGCGAAAGGAGAGGAAGAAAAGAAAAAGAAAGACGTAAGATTATTATTAGACTAATTTCATTCAAGATATTCCTAAATGAGAAATTATACATTAACTTGGAAAGCAAGAATCCATAGTAAGCCTATGAACAGCTATCAGGTAATAGAGAATGCAACGGAAAAAATAAAACTCACAAACAAATTTTGATGACCCAAAAAAAACAAAGATGGTAACGAAGCCATTCAAAGAGGCCCAAAAATATTTAACTTTATCGATTGCACTTTCACTTTTCAGCTTGAACAGCTAACTGGTAACTCTTTACTTGGCCATCATCATTATCAAAGCATCCTAATCACCATTGAAATGATAAGAGCATTATTGCCATGAAGAATATGATTTTTGTAATTTTCCTCTTTACGTTTATGTTTTCATCTTTTTATGCCTTTTTGCTGTTGATGCAACCAACTCGGAATTTTCAATGAACTTTGCAAATAATCACTTTGAAATGAAAAAAAGTAAAAAAAAGCAACCAAACCATAAGTCCAGATGAGAGGAAGAGGAACCTAAAAAAAGAAATGGAGAAAAGGAAAAAGTAAACATTAAAAGAAGATAAAGTTTAAGAGATAAATTCATTTGTGGACTTTTTGTAAATAGGGAATTGAAACTTTCGTTTGTCTCTACCATCAAATGCTGTTGACTTTATACCTTGATAATAGTTTTGTCAACATTCAATGTTCACAATAACAAGCCTGAATACTTGAGCTTTTTGTTGTTCAACTTTTAAATATACACTTGGACCTGCTTGTGGAAAGTGAAAATGTATAGAAAAGGTTAGCGTTTCAAGTGTTCAGTCCCATTGATATCAACATCTTTCACTTTCTGTCTCATCATCATCATTACATCATCAGTCTTTGAGCCAATTTTTGTTGACCATTTAAAAAAACGAAATGGACTCAATTAGTTGACAATAAATTGGTTCAATGTGAGGTTTTCAGTTGTATCTATTCAACTTGAGCATCTCATTCAGTTTAACTGTTCATAAACAAGATTGCAATCTCACTTGATTCCTACTCTTCAGCATTCACTCTTATTATAACATCAAGTTTCCACTCATTTATTTTTTTATGCTGAGCTTGACTAGTTTTTTTATCCCTTTTCTTGTGTGAGCCTTACTATAATCATTATCATTACCATTATTATTGAACCAACCATTTTCATCTTTTATAATATTAGATAAGTAAAATGAGCAGCAATAATATCTAATGGGAATGCCTTGAGCATCAAAATGTTTCCTCCATTAATCATCTCATTTATTTGTGATTTGTATATTTTGCTCCTGTTTCTTGTGTTTGTAGATGTTAATTAATACCAACACTGGAAAGGGTTGAGACAATTGATATTGTTGAATATTGTTGAATATTTGTAACTCTTTCGCCCAACGATGCATGGCATTTATGGTAACATCTTCCAGTGTAGACTGAGGGAAGCAGAAAGAAAAGTGAATTAGTAATCAATTTCAAGTGATGAGCCTAGAAACAATTATGATTTTTATCATACATACCAGAATGAGCAACTGTCAGAGTCAACTTGAAAACAATCGTATAAACCAATTATACTGTTATTATAATTTACTGGAGGAAAATTAGAGTTGGTTCATTTTTTTCTGTTTCTCTGTGTGAAAGGTTTAGTTTAAGCCTTTTATCTTGAAATTTTCGACTCATTTGGAACCAAATTTGATGTAACTTGAATTAATCGTTAAAGCTGTAAAGAATTGATGATAGTGACGCGATGATGATGAACAAAATTAAAAGTTGCATCTGAAACAATGAACAGGGGTAATGATGATGATGATGATTAAAAGTGATTCAGTGAATTATTGTAATTGTCATTGAGTATTAGCTCAGTTTTAAATGAGCTACAACAGCAAAGGGCAAATTCAATTGTAATAAGTGTCTATTGAAACCAGAATTGGTATTGTTGTGCAAAAAAATAGAAAGAATTGATTTGAATGATTAAACCAAAGAAATAATGCACCATCAGCAATAAAGGAACTGGTAAAGCAAAATGATTATACGCAAAACAATAATCGACTGGATCAATGGTGTTTAAATACTAATTTGTAAAGCCAATTAGAGGAAGAAAATTGGTTGCATGAAATTGTGCGACTGGACACAAGCTGGATTGACCGTTAGATCGAATGGAATTCCAGTTAACTCAAGTACAAAGGCCCATTTTACAGTCGTATAAAATAATGGATGCCAGTTAAAAGTAAATAACCTCCATTGGTAGTCATTGAGGTTAATTGAAGTGACATGACTTGGCTCCCAATGCTGGTTCAAATTAGTCAATAGTATTGTTTAACATGAATCAAGTAGAAGCATGAATTAAAATGAGAAAGTCCAATTGAGAGTGAAATGGTTAATGGTGTTGCAGTGAGTAATGATCGGGCAGTAATGGTTGAAAACAAAATGGGTTACAATCAAGAAACCAAAGCAATTGTGGTGAGGTAAAAATGTGACATTGTTGGTGAGACAAGTTGATCAAAGAACCAAGGAATGCATCATGTCAAGTTTCATGAATAGATTTGAGAAAAGATGAAATTAAAATTCCTTTAAATATCAGGGAAATCTTACAAAAATAATGGCTGCAGTTGAGATTATGGTGAAAAAAGGCAGAGACAACTGAAGAAGCAGATGATAAACCAGACGATATAACATGAAAAGTCAAGTTGATCCACTTTCAGTTGTTGGAAAGACACATAAATCAGATAAAAATCACAGTAAACTGTAAACCGATGTAATGAGGATTATTTTATTAACAATTTGGTACAACACAATTTTAATAACTAGAATTAGTAATTTGTCAAAAATTAATTAAAAATTGACAAATGGAAAATTAATACGCATTAAAATGTAACGTTAAAAAATAAGTGTGGTTATAGCAACGCAATTTCCCGCGTTCATATTGAGCGGGCTGGGAAACCCAATCAAACATTAACCATGATAATCATGTTACAATATTTGAAAGACAATCAAGTCGATTGTTGATTGATATAATACAGATCAATGAATTAAATTTGGTTAACAATTTGACAAGCTTTATGTCTGCCCATACATTATTTAGGATAGATTACAATTTAATTAAAACGCGGACAAATAAATGGGAACAATTGTTCAACCCAGAAAAACCTGAATTGTTGAGTTTAAATAAGCGAAATATAACTAAATAATATTTTAACTCTAATCAATTTACTTACGGCTGACAATAATCACGCAAATAAATGAATGATTACTTCAATTTACCTAAATAATAAAAAGGTAAAATGATTGAACAATTGATCATTTGATCATTTGATTAAAAGGTAAAAGTTAAAATGTAAAATTGAAAGGCAACTTCACCTAATAATAACAATGTAATGTACATAAAATATGAAATGATATAACAATTAACTTTTCAATCTTAATTTATTAGAAATTCAATTTTTTCTCTTCAAATTATTGAAAGCATTTTTCATTGATTAAAAGGCTTTAAAATTGCAATTTAATTATAAAAATGATCACAAAATGAACCTTGAAATGAACAACATTGACTCAAAGGTATTGAAGTTCAATGATGAAAGCTTTGTTTTCTGGTTCAACCAGATTTACATTGTTTCCAGCATTTATTGATTAAGGTTACAAATGATAAATTAATGAACATTATTGATAATCTAATGACAGATTATCTTGTTTATCTTATAACATGTTATTTGATTAACAACGTCTGAATGTAAACATTAATATCGATCACAATGAATTATCACAGCATTATTGAACACAGTTTTAGTTTACCATTCAGATTATATTTGTTATTTGCTGTTCACCTTTTCACATGGAAACAAATTAACTAACAGTAGATTTATTGGGCAAATTAATCATTTTCATGATATTTTCATTTCTTTTTCAAAAAATTCTGATTCTAATACAAATCATTCTTGCACATTAAATGACTATTAACTTGCTAATAAAGCAACTTGAAACTAAACATCCCAATGGTATTTATGTAAGGTAAATATGTAAATGACAAGTTTGATTAGATAACCTAATTTAACCCAATTTTGATTGATGCAGGCAAACACGTTAATCTTATTTGAGTTTGTATTTTGTATTTCAATCAACTTGAAATGGTTGAAATAAATGAAAAAGACTTTGAGAATCCTTCTGAGTTCATTTCTTTCTGTATTTCCAGGGTTTTTTTGGTGAATTTCAGCTTGAATCTGATGTTCATGTTGATGATAAAGGTGGTGGTGATAGTGAAGGAGGAAGAAAAGGAAAAGGAAAAAGGAAAGAAGATGACAAAATTTATAGATTATTTAAAACAAAATGAGCAAAACTGGTAAATGAAACAAGTCCAAAGCAAAAGGGCATGAAGAGTTTACTATGAAAGATATTTCGCTTATAAACATTTAACGAGATTGGAAACCTTTTTTTCCTGTTATTATATGGTATCATGTTAATTGATGATGATTATTTAGATATATTATGCTGTAAAATGTCAGTTAATTGCTGTAAAATTTTCGTGTGGTAAGATGAGTGGCTTGAGAGGTGAACAGAAAGGTTGCTATTCCTGTTGTTGTTGATCAATAGTATTGTATCAATGTCAACACGTTGAAGCTATTAAAGTGAAACGATAATTTTAAGGCTTAGCATGTTGACTTTTGTTTACTATTGATTATGTTGATGTAATTTAACTGTTCACTGTTTTGCTGGTTTACTCTTTATTACTGGTAACATACACAATCAATTTATGTATTGAAATGCACGATCAGACTCTATAGTTGCTCCTGTAGTGCGTCCATCAAGCTGTAGGTTAAGTAGCAAATTGTGTAAGTTGTTTGATGAAACACAGTAAGATATTCAAGAAAGAGGCAAAAAGAAACTAATAATTATCAAAGATTAAATGGAAACCAAAGAGAGTAGTTAGTTAAATTAGTAATTTAATTTAGTTAAGGTTCTGTATGGAAAAGAGGAAAAATGGATTCTTTTGATTTAAAGTTAAATTATGATAATAGATGGCGTGGTGAGAGTAGGCTACTGCGAGGGAGATGTGAGAGAGAAAGGCAGTTGTAAGTTGTCTTTTTAACAAAACTTTTGTTGAGTTTGAAGATAACTACCAGCATATCCATGAAAACAGCCTTTTCCATGAGACTTTTTTTATGCCTTTTTAACATTTTTTTGTTTTTTATCTGTTTGTTTGTGTATGTGGAATATTGAATGGTGTTATGTTTGTTCAATCCAAAAGTGGGAAGCCGTTCAACACTGGGCGAACTCTCGAGATTTTTGCTGCAGTGCAAAATGGACTAGCAAGTTTCATCTACTTAACTCAGGCAGATCTTGACTTACACCGGTCTATTGAAAAGGATCTTTCCATCAGCTCTGCTCAGGTAAATTATCTTTTTTTTTCTTGTCTATTTCTTTTCTAATTATTAAATTAATATTGCTTATAACACTAACAATCTGCTAATCACTAACACTGCTACTAACTACACTTTTAATGCTAACAACTAATGCTTACTAAAGGGCAAATTGTACGCGCTCACAAAGGTGAGAGTTGTTTTCCACTTCCACTTGATGCTTTTTACCTGCTTGTTTGTTTCAAATCCTCCATACCTGTTTTACCTACATTGTACTTTCTCTCTGTATTTTTTGAAGCTCAATTATTTACTCGTTCTCTTTCTTTTCTTTCTCTCTCTCTCTCTCCTTGTCTTTCCATTTCCCTCTTCATCTCCCTTCCTACCTTAACAAAATTACTTGGTGTAGCAATGCAAAAATGGTGAACGCTACTTGAAACGTTTAGAGTTTGAACTGGCTAAATTGGAAGAGCTTATGGATCAATATGATGTTCACCTTAAAATGCGAGAAGGTAAGAGATGATAAAGCATTATTAGTTAAATAACAAATTTTCCTTTACTCTTCCGCTATTGTTACATTTTAAAAGGTAGTCATTTGGTGTCAGCGATTGATTTTTTTGTTAATCATCGCTGTTCCCATGAAATAAACCAATCAATAATAGAAAGAGGTTGACCCACCCTTTCTTTGCGGGGGAAAAATTTTTAACTAAACTTTGGGATTACCTGAGGTCTATTCACCTGGGATATTCTTTTTTATTGGATTTCTAAAGTTTTTTTTTCAATTATAATCTTCAGGTGTTCGTTCAATGGCTTATGCCTACACTATGTCTAACGGTCCTGAGCGCGATTCTGCTTTATCCTCAGTTCGTTCAGGATATAAAGAGTGCACCGAGACTCTGTGTTTTCTCGAGTCTCGTTTGGAAGCCATGTTGGGCACTTTTCATCTTCAAATGAAAGGAATCCAGGGGTTTGCTCGTCTTTGCCCAGGTGATGTTTTTGAGATCACAATAAAACACGGAGATTCACAAAAGTGGAAAACTCGTGGTAAAATTTTAAAATCAGGTGAACAATCGTGGGATCATCAAGCTACTATAATTAAAGCTCTTATTGAGGATAAGTTAACCATCAAAGCTGTAGAGGTTCGTGGATTGGGTAAAAATATCACCCTTGGTGTGAAAACATGTGAAACGAAAGATCTTTTCTCAGCTCGACCACAGTTGATGACGATTAATCTAAATTCAGTGGGAACTTTAAAGTTAAACTTGATCATTACCTGGAATCCATTGCACACATCAACCACTGATTCCATTGGTCCTTCTGGATCAACCCTTAGTCGTACTTCTTCAAGTTCACTTCTCGGCTCTAGATCAAGCCTTACACTACCCTCACTATTTTCCCCATCTTCATATTCAAAGGCCAAGCTTAGTGCAACTTTACCACCTCCTCGGATTACCGAGATTATCGATGCAGATTATTACATCCATCGAACATCAAGTCACCCACCATCATCAACATCATCTTCTACTTCATCACCAGCCAATGGGGGTATCAATGCAGCTCATCATGGTGTCGACATGAATATCTCTAGTGGCCATTGTGGATCATCATCTCACTCTGAAGAAACTACACCTACCTCAACATCTTCTGGATCTCGTGGATCATCTTTACATCTCACTGTTACCTCAGGTTTTGGTTCTGCTTCAGGTTCAGCATCATCTTACTGTGGATCAACTTCAGTTCCCAATTCAACTTTAACAAGTCCGGAAACTGAAATTCCGCCAAGTTCAATGCAGGCATCATCAAACGGCCATGGAAATAATCATATCATTAACAATGGCTGTAGTTATATTGATAGCAACAATGATAACATTATTTACAACAACAACAACAACAATCTTATCAATGACCATAACAAAGCAGTTAACAGTTCCTCTCAATATTCAAAGCAACAGAAACAATCTGCAATAAAGTGTTCGCCATCAATTAATAGCATGTGTCTTAAAGAGACTACAGAAAGGCTGCTTAAAGAGTTGGGTAAATCAAGCCAAGAAATAATTGTTGAAGCAACAGTTCATCAAAGCTCTTCTAGTCTTGCTACCTCAGCCACAACACCAACCGCAACAAACACAACTAGCAGTTCGAATGCAAGTTTGTACTCAAACAATATTGATAACAATCACAAATCGGGCGGAAAAGCAGCCTCCTACTCTTCAACATCGTTGTCCTCTTCATCCCATCGTCATCATCCCAATCATCAAAGTCTCCATCAACGTCATCTTGTTTCCTCTCATTCATTGGCCAATGTCTACTTTAATATTAGCGATATTCTTTTAAATTTAATGTCCTCTTTGGAAGATATTCAAGGGCAATATTCAGAAATTCATTATCTTCACCAATCAGTTCTTGAATTGTACAGAATTTTACGAAATATAAGCCGATTACGAGGATCGGTATTTTGCAATAATAACAACCAATATCATTCAATTGATGATGGTAAATGTTGTTCAACCACCGGCTGGAAGCATGGAGACAATAATAATACAAGTAAATCTGAAAGGTACAAAAGGTTAGTTTCAAGTACTTCTGATGTTTCATTGTCTGTTGAAGATGCATTAGAGTGCTTCGATTTTCTTAATAGTGCAGTAACCGATAGTGATCCAGAATCATCGCCAGCAACATCCACCATGGTAACACCTAAAACTCGTAAATATGATTCTAAATCGCATAGCAAATGGACAAAACATCGATGCTCACCATCTAATCATCAAAACTCATCGCCTTCCCTCTTAAAGTCAAAATATGCATCTGTATCAGTTGCTGCAGGTCTTAATTTATCAGGTGAAAACTGTCAAACATCTTCACCCTTTTCACGACCAGCATCTCATTTCAACATTAGCCCATCGCCAATCCATGCTTCAAAATCACGAAGTCGTCTAAATAAACACCATTCAACCTCAACAACAGCTCTTTCACCCACAACCTCATCAACAACAACAACAACCAATTCAACTCCAAGTCCCATTGAATCACCTCATCCACTCTCCTCCGGGTCTGAACAACTTGATATTTGTTTAATGGCTCATCTCAACTATTGCCAGCGTCTTCTTCAAAATCTTGGATCTTTCGGTCCACTTCGAATGAGAGAGAAACGTTCATTAGAGAAACTTTCGTGCCAAGGAATGGTTATTCATAGACTTGCCTGTCTATGTTCCAATTTATGTGATTATTTTGTTGCCTCTTCACGGTACCTTGTTAGATCTTCAATCACTGATGATGAGGAACAACAGCAACAACAAGAACAACAATTGAAATGGTTGGAAGCTCAGTACCAAGGTAAACAGGAAACTGAGCTTTCAATACTCCGAGAAGATTCACGGATCCGTAAACTGTGGGACACTGTTTGTTATCAGAATGTTTCCGTTGACAGTGAAGAGATTGGTTCCATGTTGCTCTGTGTTACCAGCGGTCAGTTTGCTCAAACATTAGAATCTTACATGAGAGCCTTCCTCACACCCTCAGCCTGTGGGTCATCATCATCAGGCTCTCGTCACGCTAAATCACCTGGCATCGGGATGAGGGGACTATCAACATCATCTTTATCATCCTCATTATTATCATTATCTTCTCCTCCTGCCAACTTGTCAATGTATAAAAAAGTTGCCCAACTCATAACTAATCGGATAATTGATAGTCCTCTCTTTGAAGATGACTACGTTGTCACAATATTTCAAGTTGCCCTCTTCTTTCGAACCGAAAATTGTTCTCTTGAATATCTATTTAAAAGTTATGCCGAGGAAATCAGTCTATTGGAATCATTATCCATCGATAATCCAGTTTCCTTGAAACAATCACTCAATCGTTTTAGGAAAAATTTACCACCACAGGAGCCATTATTTAACATTGCATTGCTTTTACTTGATTGTGATCCATTGGTTGTTGGAATAGCAGAAAAGTATTTCACTGAAGTTGCTCAAAATAAATCACTTCGCTCACAGGTAAATATAATTAAAAATTATACAATACAATAATTAACGACGAGGTTAAATAAGAATAAAAAAAGAGTAAAGTCAAACTAACGTCAAAATTGAACCTAAAAGTTAACAAGAATAGAAGGAAAAAAAAGCAAAATACATAAAAATATGATTTAATGGATCATACAAGTTTCAATAATATTCATTATAATAATAATAGTTCATGCTAGATCCTGATTCCATTGAATAATTGCAAGTTGAATGAAAAAAATACTGAATAGCTGAAAATGGTTATTCATCAATGTATATGTGTTTTATCTTGTTGTTTTGCCTTTTTCGTCTTTGCTCATTATTATCATGATGATAATGTGGGAGCAGTGACTAGTTTTAGTTGTTGTTATTTAGTGTAAGCAAGTTGGCCATTCAAGGGTCACTATTGCTGTTGAGTGCCTTTCATTACCTTGCATTCATTCCTGTAAGCCCACAGCCCTTAAATTAGCCAACAAAAGGTTAACCTTTTTTGTGACTAATTTATGACTGAATCTCAATTAACCTTCTCTCACAGGTTTTTTTGTTGTCTCTTTCCGTCTATTCATATTGCATTTAAATATCCATGAGAAAAGACTAACGTTTGTATTACAGTGAGAACCATTAGATTGTGTGCTGATGTGTTTAAATAATAAATAAATTATCATTATAATCATGCCAACTATGTTGAAATGGAAACTAAAAATTAGCTCTTCATATCATTACAATTGTTTCCAATCAAACGGTTTACCTTTGTTTTTCAATCCACAGAAAAGCTCAATTCATTTAATCCATTTTTTCAACAATTGTTTCAATTTCCATTTCAATTTCAACTTTCATTAAGCTTACAATTTCATTTAATTCAGTTTAAACTTCAATTATCAACTTCAATTTATTAATAGATGTTTAAATTATCAGTTTAATAATATTCCAACCACTTTCGTTGAGTATATTATTCATCATCATTATCATCATTATCAATTTATCATGTTACTAAAAACCTCTCACTACCGACATGATGATATCTATCAATGTTATATCTGATTTAATGATAATCTATTATCTTATATATCTAATTATTTCATCATCTCAATTAGCCTGATTAACTTGGAATGGTATAAATAACAATAAAATCATTTCATTAGATTGACTAGTTAGTTTTTAATCTCTCTTCCTAATGATATTTTCAATTTTCAATTTCAATCGACTTGGCAAATTGAGCAAACCTTTTTTCCCTGTATTTCAATTATTGGGTCACTGACCTAAACTGACAACAAATTTTAACCAAAATATAGAGAGACGTTAAATTGACAATTAACTTTTTCTTCCTTCCTCCTCTTCAATTTTATACAGGTCGTCAGAAAATTGTATTTTCATTTCTTGCATGAAAAAATGATTCTTTGAAATCTTGATTTTTTCACCTCAAAATTGATCGATTTTTAATTTGACATGAATTTTGTTTCTTTTTTCTTCTAGCTTTTGGAGCATTTCCTTGAAGGCCTGGAGGTTGATTCTCGATACGTTAGACGAGCATCATGTGCAGTATTTAAACTTTTAAAGGCCTCGGAATTCATGGAGCATTTGGCGTACATATCACTGGCTGATGATTGTCCTGAGGTTCGTGAACAAGCCAAATCAGCGCTCTTCTCTTGTGGTTCTCTTGGTCGTAAAATGTTCGAAGACTCTCAACTATTTGCTCATGGATTTCATCGATTAACCGTGAAATAAAGCAGCAGAGTCCTAAAAGAAGGGGAAAATTGGTAATAACAATAAATTACGATACATTTTTCACACGGAAACAAATTAACTGATATCAAATAGCTTTTATTTGGTAAATTAATGATTCCCTTGTTTTTTGTTTGTTTCTCATCTTAATTCTGATTCCATACACAAATCATATCGTACATTAAACATCTATTATTATAATCAATGTAACTTCCTTTTAGCATCTGATACACTTAGCATCTTTAACTATTGTACAATCTGTATTTTAAACTGAGAAATGAAGCAAATCCAAAGCATGAAAAGGGCATGAAAAAATGTTTTAAAAAATGATTGAATAATGAAGAAATGTTTCTTTCTTTTAAACCATTCTTCTTTGAAAATATTTTACTTAACGAGATCGTAAACCTTTTTCCTGTTATTATATGGTATCATGTTAACTCATGATGATGATACTGTTTGGGATATTTTATGCCCTGTGATAACAGTTAATTGTAGTCTCATTTTAATGTGGTAAAACGAGTGGCTTGTGAGGTAACAAAAAAGGTAGCTGTTGTTCAGTAATATCAATGTCAACACGTTGAAACTATTAAAGTGAAACGATAACTTTCAGGCTTAACATGTTAACTGCTGTTTACTGTTGTCTCTATTGGTGTGTGGCAACTGTTGACTGATGCTTTATCCTTTATTGTTGACTCACAATCAATTTATGTATTGAAATGCACGATCAGTCTCTATACCTGTTCCTGTAAGTGTGTCCATCAAGTTGTGAAATAGTCAGTTATGATAGTTCATTATCAGTGTGCAAGTTCAATAAACGGTTTACATGATACACACATGTATCACACAGTCAGCCATATAATTTTTTCTGGATAATAAGCCAATATCAAATTCAATTTTTCAATCATTGTCGTTAGCTATCCAACTCCAATCTCCAATACAGCAGCTCCAGTGTAATCAACAGCTAATTAACAATCTTTCTGTGTAATGCTGTTGTTAATGTTAAACAAAATTTTCCAGCCAACTGCTCTATTTAGATCCAAAACTAGACTTTTGTTGCAATCGGGTTTTTTGTTGAATTTAAATGCCAGTAAATAGATCAAGGTTGATAGCAAATTGTAGCAAAAGGTGTAAGTTTACTGGTTCAATACCATTTTTCTCTATTCTTTTTTATCTTGATCTTCTTTTTGTATAATTTTTCTTTATCCTTGCCATCCATGTGAACCTATGTTTGAGAAAAAAAGGAGAAGTTAGTTGAGGCAATTTTATTTTTCATTTGAATTACTTTCTAACCTGACAATTTTAACGTGTATTATTTCACTTTCTTTAGATAACATTATTGTTATCATTTCAGACGGTGAAAGAAAGCTTATTTTCGTATAAAATTAACATACCTATAACATGTTGAAAAGCAAACAAAACTTTAAAATCATCAGTCCAAGGTAAAACCATTGAGATGGCATGCAATAAACGCAATGCCATAACAAGTTGTGAGCAGTCATAGTCAGTGGGATAACTGTCTATTTATGAAGGGTGGAAACAATCTAAACCATTTAACTAGTGGTAGTTAAGTTTCGCGATTCACAAAGAATGGTTAAGTTGTTTAAAGTACCCAGAAAGCCAATAATACTGGTAATGGGAACTTTGCTGTTGTTGGTCCATTTTGTCTATCAGATTATCCAAAAAATGTGACTGGTTCAGATGAAACGCAAGGTAGTTTCGATGCATAAATTACTCTTTTAATTAACTGTGACACAATTAGAAAGAAATAAAACGAAAACAAAATCAAAGGCGAGTTAATTTTTAGCTTATTCACATGCACATTTACACTGAACTTTTTGTCACATCATTACTGGATTGGGGATACCGATATCCCAGCGGAAAAATACTCGATACAAAAAGCAAATCCAAACAGATACAATCAGGTGTCGAGTTTAAGTCATAAAAATTTAAATCAGAATGGAAATTGGATTGAAAAAGTTATTTTGAAAGAGGAAAAGGGTTTTAAACTATGCTAATATTAAATTCAATTTAAGATCCAATGGAGCCGAATAGATTGCTCATTTCTCCTTGAGCTTGAGTTAAATAATTTCCTGTCTTTATTTTGTTTCCTATTTGTTTTTGCTTTAAGTTCCAGTTTTGGCATTTCCTAACATAATTTTTAGCCTCCATGAATCTTATTCATAACTTCCAAGTTCCATACGATATAATAAGACTAGTTTCATGGACACTTCCTTGATCATCCTCGTCGGAATCCAATTTACCATCTTCTTCGTATCCATCAGAGTCACTATCATCCTCATTATCTTCATCTCCAATTGTTTTGATGGTAAAATGATTAATCTTGGTTGAGTCGTCTTGACCAGTAACAGGTATGTCAATGTCATTTTCCTCTTGATTTTCTTCCGGCAATAGAGGATTGAGTCCGTTACAGTGTCACCCGAATCGTGGTCTTGCTCCGCGTTAATATAAAAACATGTTGCCAATGATAAAGTGTATCAATGAAAGCGAGTTTAATACAATTGTAAAATATTCATCATAGAATTGATGAGTAATTTTTCTGGCTATTCATCAACTATTAACTGTCATCATTTTCTGCTTCACTTTCTGCAATTGCTTTTGAAATCATAAATAATGAAATCTGCTTGATGAAATAATTGCTGTTACGGCAGCATTCAAATTTCACTTACAATCAAAAACCAAAAATTAGCTGATTTTCAACCAAAGAAAAAAAAGAAAAATTTAACATTGCACTTGTAATGCCATCTGCATGAAAAAAAGTAAACTGTATCGAACATTTCTATTTACGTTTGACAGATTTGTAAATTAAATTTGATCTTACAAATTGTTAAATTAATCAACGCAATTAATTGTTAACATTAATTGGATCAACTTTAGATGATTAAAATGAATAAATAATAGCTTTTGTCCATGAAGTCTTGCCGGAGAAGCATTTATCATCTAAAATTTGGTTATGTGTTAAAAGTGAACAAGGATGTTATATTTTAAGTATCAACTGTTTACTTAATTTTTTGCTCACAAATGGACCTTGGATGTGTAATTGTATCAAAATGAGTAACAATCAACCTTATTATTTAACTCACCCGTATACACCGATCCAACTAACCTTGGGAACGTTTGGTATATTAATTGGGGTTATTGAATCTCTTATCTTAAAGAGTAAACCCTTTGTGCCTGTAACTGGGAATTGGTCTCCTCAATCTCTATACTCATACATTCATCTAGACTCAACAATTCAACCGACTAACTCATTTTAATTTCATAGACTAGCAGCTGATGGATAAATTATCTTCGCCAGAATCTTGATGTTTTCAAGTTTAAATCTAAACGTGATGTTAATATCCAAACATGTGTTCAATCATGCAAGACCAGCTACACAATCAACTTTTTCATTCATTCATTCATGTCAATGTCAAATCAATATCTCATCTAACGAGAAGTGAAAAAATTGGAGAAAGAAAAGCACAAATGAATTGAATTCTATTCACAATTTTGACCTGTTCCTACCCAAACCTTATTCAAAATTTATATGATATTCAACCAATTTACAATCAAATGATTAGTCAACATTTTCCAACAACAGTGGGTGTAAAAACGATCTTAAATTTGACTGGCGAACTTGGCTTTTAGGTTTGACTGACGAGCTTTCACTTGATTGTCACGGCATCAACTCCAGCAATAGTTACATTGGAAATACATTGACTGAATTTTTTTCCTCAACATTAACAAGTCATAAATGATGGCGTTTTGTGTGTTCAGATGAGCATTTGGTCAAAGAACAACAATAGATATAATAATAATGGAGATGATAATTATATAAAGTGAGCACGCCAAACAAAAATGTAGACTTTGAAGAAAGTCTGAAAGAAAAATGTTAAAATTTTTTATCCTCTCCTTGAAACTTGTTTACAATGGTCATTTTGTGAAAGAAATGAGATGATGATAGATTTTCAAAGAATTTTCAAGTCCATTGAGTCCAAACAATCAACACCCACATTCACATCCGGGAAGATTCAAGTAATACAACTGCAATCGTTGGTAACAATAAAATCACTTCAAGCTTCAATCGTAAGCCTAACAATAATTCATAATACAAGTGCAGTTTCATTGTCATAATATATTTTTGGGTAACAATTGGCGCTTTCATTAAAAATTGGGTAAACATCAAGATTAGAATTACATTTAAAAAAAAATATTTTCATCTCTGTTCAGCTGATGAACCTGAAAAGCTCAAGTACAACGTCACTTCAATCAAGCATATTTAATACAAAGGTTACTTCAAGTAAACCTACATAAGGTAAGCATTTAATTTTGTCTGCCAAACACCTTTCGATGAAATTGCTGTTGATTAATATTTTTTCCGTTTTCTTTCGATTAGGTTTCAAGATTGATCCAAAGGACGTAAACACGGGAAACTAAAAGACTAAATTCATCTTTAAGAAATGTTAATTTTATTAATGATTTGGAATACCATACTGAATGATAACAATGGCGTCACGCAAGGCCGTGAAATGAAGAGTCTTTTGCTGTGCTTAGAGAGACACAATTTTGGTAATGATTGAAAACAACATTGATTGTTGCTGTATGCTGTCTCTTCGAGTTAATACAATGACGTTGACTTTTTCACAACAGGAGAACTAAACATTCAAAGTCTGTGAAATCATATGGAAGAAGAAAAAGAAGAAAAGAGAAATTAAATTTATACTATGGATGTAATTAGTTATGGTCTATGTCAATTGAAGACTTGATTGTTTTCCAATGTCATTGTGAGCTGTTGATTTTTTAATTATCACATGTTAAGGATTCCTTGATGGCAATTTATCTGAAAACAAAATCTGACGCTTTTGTTTTATTGAAATAATTGTGGTATTTTGGTAGGAAACACAACCACAACATAAGAAAGTAAATTGTTAATAACAATAACAACAATCAAAAGTAATGACGATGATAAGCAGAGGGTGAAAACCAAAGGAGATAGCAGGCAAAAAGGAAAATTGAATGAATCTTATAATCTTATATTTGGTGGAAACAAAACAAAAGTCTAAAAATAATCACGTCAAGATCACATAAATGGTAACTGAAAGAAAATTTTTAGTTGAGTAATGCTGAGTTACTTAATTGTGCTTTGAATCTAACTAATTTGAAATTTGTGCTATCGATTATTAATCTATTTTTTCTTGCACCTTCATTTTCTCAGGTAATCAAAAAACAAAGTCAAAGGACTGGCCATAATCAAGCTCATCAATATGTTTGTAATAAGCAGATGGGAAATTGTAAAAGTCAATTGAATCCACGAAGAAGCATTAAAGGTTACCAAGAGAATCAGATTAATCGGATAGTTGATCATCTGGATAAGCTTTCGTAACTCTCTTTCACGCACATAAACGTATATACAATTTGTAAATACAATTTGATTGATCAAGATGATTAGGATTAACCGTATTAACTGGAAGCAAGGAGAAACATGGCAACAATAGCCATTTCGATTCTTGTTTTTGCTGATTGTGTCTTTCATAAAGTGATTTGACGTCGATTAAGTAATGGACATCTAAACTGCTGAGGTCTTTCCATGATACGTAATGATTGACAATTTGTACAATTATTGGTAACACTTTTCACTGGTAATGGAGCAATGATAATTTCTTCATTTTGGTAATTGTCGACTTTAGCTTCTCCTGGATGATTCTGGTATAAGAAAAAGAAATAAACACACAAGATTAATCAATTAATCGAGGAAGCTCCTGTGTTCAAAGGAAGAAACAAAAAGTCAATTATTCGTAACAATTGGACTGATTATTTGAACAGCTAATAACATACTAATGATTAGAGGATTGTCCTTACTGGTGATGCTTTCGGATTCTCATTTGTTTGTATTCCAATGGCGGTTGTGTTAACATCACAATGGTTAGGCTCCAAGGAACAACCAAAGGATCCCTTGAAGGTTTCAGATTGATTTAAAATGAAGTCAAGTCTAAATGATGAAAATGGAGATATCATTGAAATTAAATCGTCAAGAATTTAGTTGAAAGTTTAGTTAAAAATTAAAATTGAAAATTGTGAGTTTACCTTTTAAGAGGATCAATCGCTAGTTTACCCTCTTTTAGTATGAAGGGTGTTTTCATACACAATGTCTTTTTGATATGAATGAGAAATTAAAAGGAAACAAATGATATGATTAATAAGAATTGTTAATTGTCCAATTGGGTTAATTTACCTTTTCTAAATTAATGTAAAAAAGTTGTAATGCATCAAAAGCAAGACCAGGAAGATATAAATTACTTTCCTTGCTACCTTTTGTATCAGCAATGAATGACTATTGACAAAAGAGAAAAGCAAAAACAAGTAAAAATCAATATCATTCAATGAATTCAATTTTAATTATTTGAAACTGTCTGGCTTAATTTAACTAAGCAATTTACCTTCTCAACTATTGTATAAATGAGATAGTCAATGATCAGCTGGCGTTTAACTGTAGCTTTTGTGGTTGTGTTGTTGTAAGACAATAATTTACACGATAAATTAGTATTATTAGAGTTGATTGTGAGTGATAAATTGGATAATGAGGATGAAACAATCAACTGTCCTTGGGAATCGCTCGGATTAACATTAGTTTGAGACAAAGATGAAAAAAATGAATGCAAAATCTCCAAGCCAATTGATGAATAATTGAGGAAACTGGCAAGACAAACCAAAAGAAAATACGATTAATGAAAGAAAACACTGTAATTGGATAAATTGTTGTTAAAAATTGTTACCAAATTGTTAATTCTGTTAGTCTAAATTTAATTACCTGAGATCAGTCAAAGCTTGATACCAGTTGGCTATTTTTGATAAAATGGTCAGTAAATTTCTTGAATTGTTTCGTATTTGCTTGAGAAATTTGTTATCCAAGAAAAGATATCGTCTGTGCAAATGGAATGAAACAATTAATAAATAAGATGACAAATTAAATATTGAACAATTAACATGAAAATAGAAATGAAAATCGACTGCATCTCAAGCATTATTAGTTGACTTTCATATCAAGCTGAAATGTGTAAAATTATCTTGCTTTTGGAAAGTAAATTAACGTAAATTAAGGCAATTATTAGGGGAAAATAAAACTCTTGATGATGAAAGTCGACCATTTAATTATCTGGTTGCATTAAAGTGTTACATTAATGTATCAATACTTACAAAATGGATGCATCAGTTGATTTTAATGATTCCATGACAGATTTACGATTGAATTTGGTAAGCTCAAGCATATTATTGAAATAATCAGCTTCTGATAGTTTAAGCTAAAATAATTGCAAGATTGCGAATGATTAACTGATTAAACTTGTGATTTATTGTTGAATTACCTCTGTAAACATGGATTCAATGGCATTTGATGAAACCAATTTATGTATGTCAACAACATAATCTCTCATTGATTTGATCCGATTAACAATTTCATTGCTTGAATTGGATGAAAGAACCAAAGGCAGAGTATTTATAGCTTGATCAGTCAATTGATTTACCATTGATTTAAACTGTTGAAAGAATAGACGATAATTTCATTTGTAAATTAAATTATTAACATTGAATGGAAAGAAATAAAACAACAATATTTACCCCAATCAATTCCAAATCATCAAAATGCTCCTTAAAGTATATTAAGGGAAGTAAATTGTGAAAATATGAAATTACTTGTCGATCACAAATTTCCTTTCGAGTTGCTATATCATTGTTGTTGCTTTTTATTGAATTCATATGTAATTGTCGCCAGAAACGATTCAATCGAGGTAAACAGTCCAAGACGATTCGCCAAAGGATGAAATCACAGATTGTGCTGAAGAATACAAAAAGAGAACCAGAAAAATTAATGATATTAATATATTAATAATCACACAGATAGATGGTTCCTTTCATCATTGACATAACAATCAGCTTAATGCAGTCGAGTATCACAATCGGGAAAAAGGTTCTTATATTGATAGAAAATTATTATGATTGATGGACTTTTCCCTTTCATTCCTACAGAACAAGTTGTGAAAGTTGAAAAATAAATGAGTGCAAAATCAAAATAATAGCAAATGACTTGATTAATCATTTTGTTTCCTAAACAGCAAAAGTCTGAACCATTGGTGTTGATAAATAACAGGTCGAGAGTACTTTTGATCATTTAACTCCTTAGACTCTATCATTTCTAACCATTAACCATTTGCCCAAACAGTACTTATATTTACATCTGGTGATCAACTAAACCAACATCTTGATGCATCGTCTGGTAACAGCAAATATCCATTTCAAGAGTAAATTTTTGATAACAAGAAAATCGTCATTCTGGTTAAAGCTTTAGTTTTAGGTTCAATCACTTTCTGTTTCCATAAAGTCAATCAAGTCTGTCGTTGGTTTTCAAATTAACTGTCTGATCAAATCAACTGAAGTCATGCCATTAACCATTGAAACTGTTTCAGATTCAACTTTTTCCCAAACAGTGAAAGCAATCTTTGAATTTTCCACTAATAGACTCTTAATTTGCCATATTACTTTGGATTAGTACCTTCGATCAGTGACAAGTAGCAGCTCGTTGATTTGCTTCAACATTTCAACGCTTGTAATGTTAATTTTTTCATCTCCAGATAAATTGGAACCAGTAACAATCTTCAAATATTTAGGCCATTCAATCTGAAAAATTAATGAACAGTAAAAATTAATATTTGTAAAGTTTAAAATGACAGAGACGTAAAAAGGTGCAAGCAATGTATCAATAGCTTGAAGGAAAATGTTGAAGAATGAAAAAAAGATGATTAATTTAACAAAAGGCAAAAAGCAAATTATAATCATATATTATTACAGAAGATGACAAAAGGACGATTAACTATCCATTTACTTGTGCAACTGAATCTATTTGAAAGCATTAAACTGAAAATATTTACTCCTTTCCTTTATCATTGTTCATTCATGTAAAAATAAATTTACTCTTCAATTGCATCCTTTCTCTTACTCTATCTAACCATCTTTCCTCCTCCTCTTCATCGTCTTCAGATGATTCCAATCTCTTCTCAAAAAAGAGAGTAAAAGTGAAGAGGATAAAAAGTGTATTAAAGTTGAATTCAAATCACGTTAAAGTGACATTTCACTTTTTATCATTTCCACATCACTTGTATTGAAAATCGTTTCTTGTTTGATTTGTTCATCATCATCTCCATCATCTTCATCTTCACCTTTTGTCCTCCAAAGGCTAAGCAATATTTTTTGTTGTGTGAAAAAATTGATTCCAAGGCAATCAGTAAGTACATTGAGGTGGCAATGATGAACACAGACAACTTGAATCAAGTGAAATTTGCTTTTTCAGAATTTCTTATTTTCTTTTCCATTCTTTTTCTTTTTCTTTCAATTTCATTTCCCAAAATCAAGAAGAAAAAAGATGCTCATCATGATGATCAATGATATTGAGTGAAAATTGAAAAGAAAAACAAGTTGAAAAATGGATGAAAAGGTTGAAACTTGTTAGAATGTGACAAATAAGGAAAAAACAGTGAAAGTCCAATAATGAAAATTCAATTGCAAGTCGTAATACTCGATGATTAAACAGAATTGAATTGATATCCATTGTTCACCTCACTGTTTATCATGAGAATTGAAGATTAACAAAGGAAAATTGAATAAATTCTGCTCAATCCAATGCGAATAAAAGATTTGCTGAAAAGAAATGAATGTGCGTGAAGAAAATCAATTGTAAGCTCATTCAATTGTATTAACCAGTAACCTTAAACTTTTCACCTAAACTTTTTTTACACCAAAAAAACATATCAATCATTAATGCCAAAGGGTTACTTACACTGGGAAAAATCATATTCATTTGGTATAAATTGATTGTTGTCCAAGTATTTTTCAACTCTTCACGAGCAATTATCTGAAAAAAGAGCAAAGAAATTCAAGTTAATGTTGAAAATGTTACAATGGAAATCATTCAATCATTCAATCATGTTTGTTACCGATTGAGAAGGAAAGTAAAATGATTTAGAAAAGAAAATTTTTGCTTCGTTTTTCTTTTCCTGCTGATCCAATCACATTTTCAGATTTATGATTAAATTTATACTTCTAAACCACATGAGTTGCAGGGTAAAAAGGCAACTCAAAATGATCAACTTGTCATTTGTCATGTAACAATATTTTGAATGGAAGAAGAACTATGAAAAAACTATCTTTTCATATGTTAATGTTGGTTAAAAACAGCAATTGTTCAATATTAGGATTCAATCTAATGGTTCATTAAAAATGTACTGTAAGGTAAACAAAGAGTTGTGAGGTTGGAGGAAAAAATAGGCAAAATATAAATGTCATGTTCAGGCATGAATGAAAATTTGTTAACTCAAATGGTAAACCCAAAAGGGAAAAGTGTCAAAAAAGGTTAACATTCATTTCAATTGTGACAAACAAATTGCATGTTATCGTTATAACCTTTTTTTGTTGCTCTCCTCACTGATGTTACCCTTTAACCTTTGCCTCGTCACTATTAGTCAAAGTGACACATCATATAAGGTAGTGCAACTAAAAATTGACACATAAATTGTTTTGCCGATTATTCAACAATCAGATTAGTTAGCAAATTATTTTTTTTTAATTTTCATTAATTAAGTCCTAATAATATACCATAACTAGGTTTTGTTGCTATGTTCATTCTATCTCATGAAAAAAATCAAAGAAAGCAATCTTTGTCAAATTTTTCAAGTTTTGATATTTAACATTATTTTCTATGGGATTTTTTTCCAACTAGCTGTTTGGTGTTCAATTTTTGCTTCATTTTGTTCTCTTGATGGTTCACTTAATGAAGACATAGTCGACTACTGCTTGACCGATTGACTTCAAATTTCATATTCAGCTTGTGTAAGGTTGCTGGCTCGATACCTAAAAAAATGGTGCCTTTAAGTCTAGAAATTCTGTCTAAAATTTCATTTGAACTGTTAAATATGAATGTGTCAATTTTTGGTTGCACTACCTTAACATGGGACAAGTAAGAGTTTACCTGAGCAATTTTAGTTTCAAACTCTAAAACTTGATTCATCGATTTCAATGCACTTTGCTTTGAAGCGCCTAGTTTAAGAGCCGTGTCAATCATGATCTCATAATAACTTCCCCACTTTTTGGCTATATAAGGTCCGATCGAGCCCATACCAAGAGATGGAGATGAAATCTGAATAAGAAAATGAAACAAAATTAAAAATATAAAATTCGCCAAGAAATTATTGTAAATTAAAACATAAAGTAAACCAGAATCTTTCAGTTTATCAAATTGAAAAGGTCTGCGTTAAACTGGTCAACATGAAAGTTTATGCTTTGATCAAAATTCAACATTGGATTGTCAACTAATTTTTGCTTGTCTAATCAAGTTATTTGTTTTCAATTGAAATGAGTATTTCTCATTTTGCTGAAGATTATTTTCCAATTTGGTAAACTGGTTCTGGTTTAGTAGATTAGTTTTATGTTGACTCTACCATGATATTGATTTGAGTATCTTGTCCAGATGAGTCGCTTAGAAAATTTAAGTTGAATGAAAACAACATTGAATTTAGAGTTCCTAATTGATGAGATTTAATTAGGGTTTCGGTCAGATCATAGTTTGATGTGCAAGTTGATCCAAGTTCAAGTACAGGCCAACCTCCCATTGAGCTGATGACTTCCTTCAATGGTTCCTTTCCTTTACGTTCAATGGCATCTGAAATGGAAAACGAAAAGAGAATTAATATTTTTTTAAATTCACTCGATTCGTACAATTATATTAAAGCAACTTGCTATCATTAATGTACATATAATGTTATTATGTACAGTTGGTTCAGTTTTTTTTCTTCCTCTTCTTTGGTGCAAAAACAAGAGTAGAAAATAATTGAATCATTGGGTATGGTTGAAGTAATAATATTGAATTAGTGATGATTAATATTATTAATATAATGTCTATCTAAATTAAATCTCTAATAGTTTGGGTTAATTTGATTAACTTTTGTTTCTTTCACTGTTCAACTTCCTTCTTCTGCCTTGAATAGTTAATATCTAACATGGTAGCCTTGGTATGTTCACATAAACATGTATTATTACTTCATGATCATCCTTCAGAATAGACTGTTATACCTTCATTTAAACAAGATTGATAAAAGTTCCAAATCTCTCCAACAATTGGTTTCTCTTTTGCTGCAAAGACCAAAACAAAACAATAATTAGGCAAAATGAATAACAATAGACAAATGCAAGCCAATGATAAAAACTCACCGTTTGTTGAGGTCATTTCAGTTAAAACACCTTTAATGGTTAAAAAGGTTTGTTTGTAAGGAAATGAAAAGAAACAAAAATTGTTATCAATATAAATTAATCTGGTAAATATGGCGACTCAGCAAGACTATTCAGTTTAATCGATCAATTGTAACAACTGCAAGACTCATAGTCTCAATGTTTGACAATTGAACCGATTACAGTTTGGGCTCGATCTAGTTAGACCTTGTCAAAGGACAGGTAAAAGCCTGAGGTTAACCTATTCCAACCCATAACTGGTTCAGACTGAATCATCTTGGCAAATGTTTGCTTCCAATTACCGTGAAAATTGGTTAAATCATCAGCTGATTGAGATTCCTTATTTTTTCCATATCGACTAGATTTCTTTGAGATTAATCCATGACAAGCAAAACTGTGAAAACTGTGACAGGTTGGCGATTCAGTGTCTATCATTTTTAAAATATCCGATGCTGGAAAGAAGAATAAAAATTATTAGAAATTTGAAAATTAAAAAAGTAAAGACAAAATTCACACTTAATAATGTTTTGGACGCTCGTTATCTTAAAAGTTGAAACATTACAAGGGGAAAACAAGTATTTTTCAATTGAAATTGTAAAACAAAGAATATTTTTTGCATCTGTTTTCTGAAAAATATTGAAACATGATTTTATTTTCTTTTTCTGCCTTTTCCATTATAATCTAGTTTAGCCAATATTTCTGCTTATATAACCACCATCAGGGTGATCATCATGTTTCGCTTAAGGAGCTTGCAAAAAGGTACTATAAACTAAGAAAAGAAACAATTTGCTGATAATGTTGCCATTCAATTGTGTTAAATTGAATGAATCAACAGAAAACTACATTTTATTGAATTTACTTGTTTCTTCTGTTTCATATTAAGATTTTTATTCAGATGATAAGGTAATTGTTTTTGTTTGAGAGAAATACTTTTTTATCTTTCCTTCTAATATCAGTGGAAACATTATGAAATATCATGGAAAAAGATTTATAGGAATATGAAACGATTCGTCTCAATGGAAATTGAAATATTGTTTTCACTCTTTCAAATCTCATCTCTCAAAAGACACAAATGTGAGTCTTGTTGATAAAAGTGAATGTTGCAAGTGAGAGAGATAAGGAAAGAAGTAGAAAGGAAAAGCTGATTCAGAATTGGGTTGGAAAAACAAAGATTATCTTACCCTGAATGATACAATTTTTTGTAAGGCAAAGATTTTCGCTCCGATAGTCTTCAGTATAAGTGAAGGTAGACATAGTTGAAGCTGTAAAAGATATAAAAGTTAGGTGATTGAGGTCAAACATGTGGTTATGGAAGATAGCTGTTAATTAATGTTCATACCGGTGACAGTGGTTTCGTTGTATGTTTCATTGTAATGTTCCTGAAAGCTGGATTGATTAGTTGAAGCAAAGCAAGGAGGACAAGTTGGTTCAATGGGACTTGTTGGACACGAGGTTTCCTCTGGTCTTATGATCGTCTGCGGTGGGGTTGGACAAGATGGACAGGTTGCCTGTTTAGGACATTCAGGGCAAGGAGTCTTAGGACATGGACCACATAGAGCATACAAAGGGTCTGATGGGTCAGGGTAGGTTCTTCTGTGTGCTCCTTTGGCGTCCAACGAGTCACTCTCTTCTCTAGGCCTTAAAATGGTCACAGTAGGACATCTATGATCTGGAAAAAACAGATTAATCAAAACATTCACTTTTATCCTCATTTATCTTATGCACTGGATTGATACTTACGATCGGAGTTAATAGATTGTCTCGTTAATGTATACACAATCACCAGTAAAAAGATGGTTGCCAATAAGGTCATGGAATAGAAGCCAATTTCAAGAGCAAATCGTTTCCTTGGCCAATTGAATCTGTAAAAATTGAAACAAAATTATGCATAAACAAGCCTATTTTTAGTCTATAATTAATCATCTGACTGATGTTGAAAACATTGTAATTGTATAACAAACATAATTACCCACGATAATTCAATAAAATGTTAATGCTAAGTCATCACTAAAAGGGTAATAGCTTTGTTTTTTTACCATTTGATTGATTTGTTTATTGTCTCTGTATTGGAGTCGTTAGGATATAACATATGTTCATATCATGAGATGTTTTATTGTCTTTTCAATGTAATTTTTCACCTTTTTCCTGCTTCCTATCACGTATACTTTCCAATCAACTGATTAATTGAACAGACAAAAATTAGGTTTCCTTATCAAGACAAGTCCTATGACTTGAGCTATGATTCATAATCAATTGAAATGTAATTAACTTTTTCTTACCTTCTATTGTTGGTCGATTCATTTTTGGGTATCTCAATTTCCAGTTGATTACCATTCTCATCATGAGGTTTATACAACATTTTAATTGATTGCGTTGCTAAACTTGATGTTGGTGAGTTAAAACTCATCTTTTTAATCCAATGGAACATTAATTACATCACAATAATAAACCAAATTAAAATTAAAAACGAAATTGGAAAAGAAACTTTTCACCAAAAATAAAATCAAATTGAGCGCGTTTCTATTTGATTGCCTTCTCATTGGACAAATAAAAAATCAAAATATTAGACATTATAAAGTTTTACAACGGTTAAGTATCTGGTCATTTATTTTGGTAATAGATTAAAGTAATTTCAAGTTCCTTCACTGATTGTAAAACACCAATGGCTAATTTGGAATACCTGAATCATGCCAAATTCACTAATTGACTCCTTTCTGTTTACATTCAATGGCAAAGTTTATTTCTTATTGACTTCAATGCTATTTGTTATTTCGTGATTTCTAAGTTTCACATTTCCATTGTTTTTGGTTATCTCATCTTAAATCATTGTTTTCTGTGCCTTTTTCATCATCCATCTTGAAGCGTAACATCAACTTTAACGACCAAACCCCAAATTAATTGTGAATAACATTGTTTATTTGTTTCCATTCACCTTGGTGTGGGTCAGCAATATGGTTTCTTGAAGACCATCTTATATGGTGGTTAACCTTCAAGATACCGCATTTGGATTATACCATTCTAGTTACTTGAACTAATCAAGACCGTAATTGATTAAACGTTTTGAGCAACCAATTTCTTTCCAGTTTAATTGCTATTTATAGTAAACATTGCAATAAATCAACAGTTACACAATTTTACATTGGTGTTTACTGAAATTACAATAATCGAGCTATAAATAAATCATTGGATGAGCTTTGCTTCTGCTAGAAAATAACCGACATTAGCTCTTCATGTTTGTAATTCATACCTTTCATTTTTACAGCGAAAAAACAAGATTCGAAACGTATTTAAGAGTAAAAATTAATGAGATTTAATTAAACATTGAATTCATGATATACACAAGGTTTTGTAAACAAAAATCAAGATCATTGGTCTGATGGTGAAAGATTTACAAAAAGCGTAATTTTGATCTCCAAAATTCATTTGGATCCACTTTTCCTTCTGTTCATTTCAGTGTTATGAAACTTTTGCTCCAATTTTCTGGTATGTCCACAAGGATCGTGTTTATTTGTGTTTTGTTCAGCTTCCCGTTTGCTCCTTTGTTTACCACTGTGATGGCAATACAATTGTTTATCATAGTCAAAGTTGTATCGATCATATTTGTCGACCATGTCACCACTGCTACTCATGATTGGGAAACTTAAAATTGAGAACTTGAAGGATTAAAGAGGAAAACAAGAGAAAAGTGAAAAGTGATGTATTATTAACAACGATGGCAAAGATGTTGAAAGTTATATTAGACTGGTTAACAACCGAAAGAAATTCTGGTTTCACTTGTAACAAAGAATGTAGTTGCTGGTTTGATGTAGCTTTAACTTTAACTTGTTTTGCTTCAGATGATTTTGTTTACAGTTTAAGCAACCTTTTATACTCACTTTTTCTCACTCACTATTTTCTCCTTCTCTGTCTTTCTCTCTTTCTCTCACCATCATCACGAGATTAAGTCTCTGGCAAAGATATGATGATAAGGTTACAAAGAATGAAAGAGGGGATGACACCTAAATGTCTCTCTTTGTTTACTGTCTACCAATCATCACCATTTTTTCCTTTGTCTACGTTTTTTTCTGGTAACTTCGGTTAATCATCTTCTTTCTGTTTTCAAGCAAATCTTAAACCTGCTAAAGAACCTTTTAGAAACTTTTAGGATGACTGAACGAAGTTAAAGGTTCGGCCGATGGTCCAAATGATTGACTGAAGTTACCAGAGGTGAATATAAACAAAGGAAAAATGGTGATGATTAGTAGACAGTAAAGAGAGACATTTAGGTGTCATCCCCTCTTTCATTCATTGTAACCTTATCATCGTATCTTTGCCTTGATTAGTTCGAGTAGCTAGAATGGTATGATCCAAATGCTGTTGAAGGTAAACTACATGAAGATGTTTATGAAGAAACCATATTGCTGACCCAACACCAAGGTAAATGAAAACAAATAAACAATGTTATTCAATATTTAAGATTTGGTCGACAAAATTGATGTTACGCTTCAAGATGGATGATAAGAAACAGCACAATAAACATAGATTTAAGATATCAGCTAAAAACAATAGTAATGTGAAACGCAGCAATCACGAAGTAACAAATAAAATAGCACCGAAGTCTATAAGAAGTAAACTGTTATTGAATGTAAACAGAAAGGAGTCAATTAGTGAATTTGGCATGATTCAGGTATTCCAAATTAGCCATTGGTGTTTTACAATCAGTGAAGGAACTTGGAATTACTTTAATCTATTAACAAAATAAATGAACAGATACTTAACCGTTGTAAAACTTTATAATGTCTAATATTTTGATTTTTTTTGTCGATCGAATTTATCGATTGGACAAAATAAATAACCAGATACTAAACCAGTGTTGTATTGTTCCATATTTCGATATCCTGGTAAAATCGTTCTTATTCTGTTCTCTCACTTCTTTGGATTCATAGTTCGTTAATTTAGGCTTGATTTAGGATTAAATCTTAATTGTATTAAATTTTTGCTCATTGCATGATTGCTTGATGTTCACATAGAAACTCAAATTCTGGTTAAAATTAGTCATCAGCATTTTCCGAAATTATTCCACTGTTTGAGCAGATTTTCATTATCATAGACGATTAATCATTATTGATACACGCGTCAATTATATTTACCTAATTTTAGTACAAAAAGACCTCATGTTGTCAAAATGTATAAGTGTCATTCAAAACCGTAGTTATTTGACTATCAGTGACTCATATTTTTACGAACATTAAAAATATATCACAACAGACGGTTCAAAGTAAATAGTTTAACCTTTATTTGACCTACGACTGAATCAACACTACTACCTCATTCTATCAATAATGAGTATAAAAAGCAAATGTTTCAATCAAAGAGTATCAGTTTCAGTTTAAATTACATCAAGCGATCTAAAAATTTTGTGCTATTATAAGTCTTTCACAACTTGAATATACAATATGCAGTTCTGCAAAATCAACTTTTTTGTCTTTTTGGTTACTTGGATTACCGTTTTTAGCTTTGCTAAAGCCAGCCAAGTTCCACACAGTCGTATGTATCATTTTTTTATTTCATGCAAACATATGTTTTACAAGAACTGGTAATAATTCCACAAATTAATTTATCTCGTTTGTTTTAGGTCCACGTAATCACTAAAACGTAGATCTGCAGCTGATTTTGATTCTTACAGACTTCAAATAGCAGCATACCCATACATTCATCTATAATGATTATAAACTTTACAAAATAATTCTGGATCGCAAATTTGATCGAACCCAATCATATTCCCTGTACTACAAAAATGCTTTCAGAAACAACTACCTTCAATGTTAATTTTGAGATGAAATAAAATTAATACAGCATCAATTTGCTGACACTAAAAACAAATTTCATCATAGTTTTTTATTGCGAAAGTACAATTGTAACGAAAATTACGGACACAAATGAATAGGACATACATGATGAGGGGTGTAGGATTTTGAGTAGCGTCAAAGAGTAAGGTAACAAGAGAGAGCATGAAGATGTTAAACCTTTCAAGTCGAGATTTTATTAATTCGATCACTCTCAGATAGCACTGGAAATCAAAAGCCCGTTGTTTTGTCCAACTTAAGAGCTAATTGAAATTTTTTTATTAAACATTGTATTGTTTGTTTGATTAAAGTTTGATTGATATTTGTTTTAATTTTTTCGTCTCAATTTCACTAAAAGCGCCTTCTAACAGTGAACTGGAGAGTTAAATCTCAACCTTAATTTGAGCGTATCTCGTGACACCTTTTGTTGCTTTACTCTTTGGGTAGCGTAGTAAATCGTGTCTGGTTTTGCTTTAGCCTCACTGGTACAGTTTAAGTAGTCATTATTTCTCAAGTGGTGAGTTTTATTTCTAGTCCAGATATTTCGTTACACAATTGAGTATATTTTTCACAATAAAATTCAATTTTCTGCCGGTTAGATTAGGTCACATTATTCTAATCAACTTAAATAAAGGATTTTCTCAATTTTCGTAATTCTGATGTAAATAAAAACTGATTTTCATTGTCAGAAACGTTTGCTTTTAATACTAGGGGTTATTGTTGTTTCGGCTATAATCCAAATACTATTGAAATATGTTTTCGATATTGCAAATGTTCAAAGAAAAATGGTTAATAGGAATGTTAGGAATAATTTATATTGGTTCATATCATATGAAAGCGGGAAATCAGCACTTTGCTTTTAAATAATTTAATACACCCTACAAAGCAGAATCAATTTTTTCTTTCATGTTTTCATTAGGTTTACGTAAATATGGCACATTGATTTTTTCAGACAATTTCGTGAAAAAAGCCATACAAAATCAGTGCAAGTTATAAATCATTGTGCCGTGACGATTATCTTATGAGCTCGATTTTTTCGTATTAAATTTTTCCACTACAGTATAAAATTAAAATTGAGGGATACCCAAATGGCTATTCAGGTACATCCTTAGCTCTATCGAATGAGACATCAAACATAAAAATCAAAGAGTGACACCTAGATAATTTCACTTGTTATTCTGGAAGCACTATGGAATCAAACAAATCACTTCTGGAATAGTCTAATTCGAGTGTCTCGAGCTTCGAATGTTTAAAAAAACTTATTACAGAAAATCCAAATCGAAAATTATCTTGGAAAGTGAAATACTCTTTTCAAGTTTTGTAGACATTAATAATTTAATGATGGTCAATAAAATAAATTTAGTTAAATTTTCAATGGGATCCGCTTTTATCCTTTATCCACAGTCAATATTTACCTTTGACACTCGACGAATCAAAAATATCTGTTGTAATATTTAGTTGGAACAAGGCAACAGCAAGAAAAATGTTCATATCATGTTATTTAATATTTGAGTTGCCATTATTTCTTCCAAATAAAGATAATTCAAAAAAGACTGAATATACAGAAAAGGAAAAAAAAGTAAATCTCATTTTGCAAAAGTTACGAGTCAATGAACAGCCATTAAGCAGATTCACAATTTTCCTATCAAAGCAAGTTCAGATAAAGTTACAAAAACAGATAATCAGAGGAAAAGACCAAGAAAATGTTGAAAATGATTAATAATGAACACATTCAATTTATCACATTGCAAACTCCTTTTCACATTGGCATAATTAATTGGTGTAAGTTTACTCGTTCAATATCAACTGGCAACGACAAAGGACAGGGAGTGGAAAATAATGAGCAAAGTTGAGGAGAGAAGACAAAATGAAGTAAAGCAAAAAGCTCATCAATTTTTCCTCTCTTTTCCTTATTGAAACTTGCTCAGATAACATGATAAAGTAGAGAAAAGGCTTGAGGGCAATTACAACCTGATAACATAACGTGAACGAACCAATATTTTTGAAAAGAATGACAAAAAAGGCAAAAATTGTTAAAAGACATGCAATGATGTTGCAAGTCTACACTTGAATGAATCGAGTTATCATGATAACCAGAATTGAATCATTGAATAAATTTATTTCAATTGAAGACAAGAAGAGTGTGAAAATAAGTTCAATTGTGATTTTTCGTTGCAACTTTTCCCTTCCTTTCACCAACGAAAAACTTTCCATTTCCATTTATTACAATTCATTAGATAATTCAAGTGCAGAATAAGTGGTTAAAATGTGAAATTAAATTTAATTGTCAACATTAATCAAGAAGGTAATGAAAGTTTCATGACGAGTTGAACAATTTTCCTCATTTCACTCCCAGCTTGATGACATTTTGCTGCAAATAATGGACTTTTTCTTGTTCATCGTTTAAACCAGAATTGATTGAATTTCATTTTTTCCTCAAAAAGTTCATTTCTTTACATCATTATCAATATCATTATAAGAATAAAACTCCCAGTGATATTGGAACGAATTGAACATTGGATATAAATTTAATCAGTTTCAAGTTTGTATTGATATCATTGGATGAATAACATTTTTTTGGCCAACTTAATTTCCTGTTTCTGTTCTTTTTCAGTTTCAAAAGTTCTTTTCTCAGTGCTTCTCTAATTTTAATAAACGTAGGCTTTGGATTGAAGTAAACTTTGATCCTAATGTTGATCTTTTTTTGTCATTTTTTCATAATCTTTTTCAGAGATTTTCATTTTGGAGACAAAATTGAACGTTGAAATGTTGAGACTCACACTTGTAATGCACCTTAAAGTGCTGCTGCAAAGCTTTCATTGCTTTTAAATTGTCTACAAATATCAATGCTTATCGACTATTATTACTTGAACGTGATCAATTCCAATGAGAATTTTCACATTTTTTTCCTCTTGTAGTTTCATCAATCACTTCAATTGAGAAACAAAATTCTCATCCTTTTATTTTCGTTGAAACCAGAAAAGAAACATAAATCTTTGGTATTGTCATGAGATGATGAAATTGAAAGTCTTGTAGCAAAAGTAAATTTAGAAATGGTGAAAACCTGAGAAACCACAAAAAATGGCCATTTAATTGTATTTAAAGGTGAACGATTATTAATGTCTTTTTGCCATCAATAAATCCAATGAAATTAAGTGCTGTCAATTTGAAAATACATCATCGCCAGGTCTTCAGTTAAATGAACACCAAAAATTTAGAGACTTTTCAAATTCACTTTATCTATTCCCTGTCTGAATAATTTTACCATCAATTTCAGTACGCAAGATTCTGAAAGATTCCGCCCTTACTCAAGAGATTTGTTGAAATAGCAAGGTAAATAAAATGTTGATTCAATCTCGATATTAACACTGAACATTGAACATCAATGTTTGACCCCAATGTCTACATGATCAAGAACTATGCTTTATTCAAATCAGAACGAAAGATTATAACCTCTCAGAGTTGACACAGAAACAGTTGAGGTCGTCTAGTTACCTGAGTCAGACAAGATTCTTACATTAAAGAAGCAAATATTATTCTGATTCTCATGATTAGGAATTTCAAATTTTGTTCAGTGATTATATGGACTTGAAGCTTTCGATTGATTTTATTTCTTACAATTTTTGTTGTTGATCTTTGCTGAAAAGTAAAAAAATAATGTTTGAGTTGAATTGAAATTTATGAATTTTAATCGATAGTTTTGATGGTGAAAACAGATGAAAATTGAAGTCCAGGATTTGATCAATTTTGTAGATTTGATTAAGATTTTCTTGTTCACTTTAAGTGTAAAGTGTTTACCACTTTACACTTTACCAAAACTGATGAAGTTTTTGTCAAGAAAATTATTTAATTAAATTTTGTGTCAAATTGTATTTACTGTATTAAGATGAAAAGAAAGGAGTTTTCATCTTTTTTTACCTTCATAAATAGCATAAAATGAGTCTCATGAGTGAACCCATTAATAATGTTAATGATGAAATGAGTCGATGAATAATATAGTGAAAATTTTTCCTCTTCTTCCAATTAACAAAAATCGTTGATGAAGCTTCGAGTTTCATAATTAGTTTGGTGAACAAGGAGTTAGAAATGTATCCATTTATTGCTATTTAGCATACATCAAACTGCAAATGAGGGAAACAATAGTAATGTATTAATCAATGAAGGCAGTAAAGAGACGAGGGTTGAAAAGTTCAATTACAAGTTAATGAGGAAAAATGAACTTTTGTGTAAATCCGAAACCAGACATACAAGAGATTCGATTATTTTGCAAAAAAAATTCAACATTTTAAGTTACATTTTGGACAATCAGACCAATAAGTTGATTCACAAATTGATACAAAAAGAAGACTCAACTAGTTGAGTCTTCTTTAAAATAAAGTCAAAAAATAAAGTCCATCAACTATTGAGCTCAATAGTTGATGGACTTTATTTTTTGGGTAAATTTTTACCAGTAGTCAGTGAATAATAGATTGAAATGGTGTTAAGTTAATTTGATTTGTTAACTTGTTAAATTGATGATTACGTGGACCACATTATGAAGTGCAAAGTGTTCAATGTCTGTGTTCAGCTTGAAGACATCACTTGAAAGTGCTTCAACTCAAGATTGAAATAAAATGTAAAACTAAAGTTAACTTCACATGGAACCAGAAAAAATATGAAATGCAAAACATTCACTTACCTTTCCCATGTTAGGAAGAACCATTAAAGTAATCTAATTATTTTGCATTAATGAATTTTTGAACAGCTTGATTATGATCGAATCAGATGTTCATTATTTCCTTTAATCCCATTGAATTTATTATTGCCATTTTGACTCACTTTTGTTTGCCTTTTTCATTAAATTTAACAACATATTGAACATTAATATTAATGCATTGAAAGGTCCAATTCCCTCTTTTCCAGGTTTATTCACAAGCAAACCCTGAATTTTGCTCAACAAATTTTCCAACTTTACTAATCTACTTTGAACACTGGAAATGTATTTGAGGTGAATAGTCTTGGTTAAGCTTGAACTAGCCATGAAATGGGTCCAAGTTA